TTATCACTTTGATCCAAAAAGGTGTGTGGATTAACTCAAGCTGATTTGGAAAAGGCTGTAAAATCTCCATCACGAAAGTCTTTTAAGAAGCTGTTAGGCACGACAGTAAATTTGATCCTAGTTTTTTAATGGGGGGTTGATCGGATGACATCATGAGGTCCTTTCCAGCCCTATTTTCTATGAACTGTACATACAACTTCTAAAAAATACTCTGTGATAACACTCAGTGCAGTGCATCCAGAAACCAAAATGTATATTCAGGAGCAGAATTACTTCCAAAATCAGGTATTTTCTAGAAATATATTACCGTCCTTTTTCTTTTTCTCCCATCAGGACCAGTACGTCTTCCTAAACCAGTGTGTTATGGATATTATTAGATCCCAGAAAGACAAGAAAACCGATCTTATTTACCAAAACATGACAGCAATGGCAATCTATGAAAATTTCACGCCTGGGCCAGCCTTCGGGAAGGCCAATGGCTACCACGCATAGTCTGGAAGGAATGCAGTGTTTCCAGGAGGTGTTATCTGCTCATAGGAAAGGGAGATGTTCTGCTCATGTTTTCCGGGATTGTGTGCAGTGTCTCACGTCTGGCTTCACCAGTTCTGTCCACATTCTACGATGTGAACTACAGGAGGAAAAACACAATGCTGGCAGGAGCCGCAGATTGATACTTAAAAAAAGAAAAAACAAACCAAAACAAAAAAACCCAAGCAAAACTATTTAAAGTTATCAGAGGAATCTTGCTTTTTCTTGGGAATTTAACAGTGCTGATAGGTGAAATAGCATTTGCAGTATGAACAGAGAACTAGAATTGAAATATTAAAATAATAACACAAGCTTTTTATTACAGTTTTATATGATTTCATTTACAGACACCAGGCTCGTGGGCTGTTTTAATATATTTAATTGTAAGTTTCAGGAACATATTTTATCTACTGTATCTGGTTACTTAGCTAATAGATATGTGCCTCTGTGATTTATTTTTTCTGTGTTCCTTTTTATTTAAAAAAAGGAGTGCAAACAGCTCCTTCAAATGGACATTTATACTTGGAAATTGTGCCTTTTCTAGTTGCTACTCTAGAAAAAAAACAGCAAAGATTCTATTTTTGTACTGAAACTCTTAATGAGAACACAGATTTTTAAAAAAGGCTTATGTCAAATTTAACTGTAGTTGCACTGTTGGCAGGACTCTCCAGAAGTTTGGAGGTGAGCTTTGTTTTTGCATTTCACCACAAATATCCCCTGCCTTAAAGTTTTGGTGCCTCTGCTAGAGGAAAAGGAGTGTGGTCTGTCACTCCGAGCTTTAACTATAGTAAAAAAACCTGATCAAGTGAGTATGTGAATGTGTGTGTGGGGACAGGGGTGTGTGTATGAAGGACAGAACAGCTCCTCCCTGTTCCTGGCTGATATTCCTGTTTTTATACCATTTATAATGATTTATTTAAAGGTGCAATATATGATTTACTGAATAATGATCACTCTATTCTAATAGAGTTTTACTCAGGTTGGTGTCTTTTTATCATTGTTGTTGTTTTTCTGCAAATACATAAATCTGTGAAAATGTCGAACTAAGGTTCCAAGTGTCCAAGCACTCCCAAACAGATTGACTGGCTTTACTGTTTCTACCAAAACAAATTGCACAAAATTCTGTCATAAAGACCAATTTCTCAGTTGTTTCAGCCATTCAAAACTGAGACACATCTTACCTGCCTGCATCTCATTGACCTAATATAATTGTTTTGCAATTATTTGCAATATACTGCTGCTGTTGTTTTAACTGGTCCTTTTAAAAACAGAACAAGCAAGCAGAAAACCCCTAGTTGCTGATTTTACAAGTCAGGGATTAGATTGGATTTATTTTGCTGGTACATAACTGTTAGACTTATGAAGGCATTACCAATGAAGGACTTCTTAAGTAGCTTGGGGGGTTGTTTTTTGGTCTTTGGATCATTGCACTGGTTGTATTGCAGAGGAATATGAAGTTTATGAATAATGCTATAGAATAGCTATAAAGTGGTGAAAATCTTATGAAGGTTTAATAACCAGAGTCCCTGGAATTCTGCTGCTTTTTTTTTTTGTTTGGTTTGTTTTGGTTTTTGTTTGTTTTAGCAGAGTTGTCAGAAAAAGCTACAGATGCTAGTAGTATATGTGGCATTACAGTGGAACCTGGCGACCTCGCAGAATCCACTGTCAGCTGAAGGAAAACGTAGGAATTCCTGGTGCACAACTGTAACTTTACAGATATCTAGAGGAATTTTTTCCAACCTGGTGTGAAATTGTGGTGTGCTGTGTGAGTAAAACTGGAGGACAAACCACAGTGCGCTTCAGCATTTTGTTTTGTGTTTTTTTTTTGTAGCAGCCACTTGTGTGTTCTTGAATATATTTTTTTTTTCTCTTTCTCTGAAATACTTTAAAATAAATGAATAAATTAAAACCCGTTAATGATCCTGCCCAACTCCATCCAAACTGGCAGTCCACATAGTGGATCTCTTACCCGGCATTCTTCCTAAGCTACTGTCAGATGACAAAGAAAGATAAACCACTCGGACCAAACAGAACCATTCCAAAGGAGCTGGGAGGGAGGAAAGCCTGCCCCTTACAGTCACGTTATTTTTTTCTCTCTTAATCTTTTAACTACTGCACATCTGTGCAGAGCACAGAGCCAGTATTCATTATTCCAGGTCTCCCAAGAACTTGCTGCCTTAGGGTGGCAAATGCTCTTTTGCTTCAGAAGGACCTTGTTTTATATAGCACGGAAGAGAGGGACATGAATCTTGTACGCTAGATCATATGTTTGCATTATATTGCAGCAGAACATCAGAAAACTAGCTCGAATGGTATATGTTTCTGCCTAACCACTGCCCAGATACTCTTACAGAAAACAAATGTATTTGTCCCGTTGTTTTGATGTTGGAAGCAGGCACCAAATTCTCACTTGTGTCATCATCTAATGATTATCCATTTTTAATACAACTGTATGCTTGTGTTTTCCCAAAACTGACTCACTGTGAGAAGAGATTGACGTTTGAAGTAAATGACCTGCTGATCTCAGGTATAGGTGGGAAAAGTTGGTAAGGCTTAAAATGTTGTAAATGTGAAGTTGGGCCATAGTGTTGATGTGAATGAGTAGGACATGCGTCATAGGATATCTCTGCAGGAGGAGGAGGATTACAGGTAATACTTTACTACCTTGTGGATCTGTCTTGTAGATAACTTGAATTCCTGCAAATAACTTTTCCCTGCCTTCTGATGTTCTCTCTGTTAAAATCACCAAGACCTCTCTCTTTGGTCAGTGTTTTCTCTCATTGTTGCTTATCTCAAGCTTTCCACTTTTCAGGCTGATAGCTCCACTATGTGGCAATTACATCTCCTGCATTTCTGTTCTACTCTTTTTCCCATTTGGGGCCTGCTTAAGAAGGGAAAAGTTGATGTGTTTCAAATAAGTGACTGTTGAATATCTTGAAATGATGTACAAATTTTGTTTTCATATTTGTTGTACAGGAAATTTCAGCACATGTCTATAATGTTTTTAATGTTTTGATTTGTTTTTAAAGATATAAAAATAACAATTAAAAAGCATCATCCTAGAGCACTTTCTGTCTTGTTTTCTTTCTCGGGGTTTTCTTTTCGGTTCCTTTTGAATAAAGTTAGTTTGCCAAAATACCCATTTCATTTAGAAGGGCTTTAGAATGGATGAGGAAAGTGGGCTCCCATCCTCTAGGGTGGCACTTGAGTTGGATTTGTATTATGGTCACTGGGGCTCCCTGCAAGGGTGTTAATCTGTCACTGAGACTTGCCTGGCAGGACCAGGGCCCGATGCTAATGTGTCCTGGCAGTTGGTGGTTTCTCTAAATGAAGAGCTTGGTGCCACTTAAAGGAACAATACCTTCATCTGAGGTCAGTCAAAAGATTTCTGCTCACTGAAATAGCCTTGGGGGAGGACCAGTGTTTCTAGGACTCATTTACTTCCAGAAAAACAAGAGGGGGGGGACTTTCTGATCCCTTGAAGGGGATGTTCTGTTGTCAGGGGGAGATGATAAAGAGGGTGCAGAAATATCTTTGTTATAGCTGGCTTCTTGATCACAGGTTATCTGACTGTAGATGCATATAAAATTACCACAGTTAACTCAATTTCTTCTAAAATTCTTAGTTTCCATTCCTGGTTGCCATCTGAATCACTCCCAAGGAGGATCACATGCCTGGAGGGTGATGCTGGAACTCAGCAGCTCTCCAGTTCCTCAGGGGCGCTGACACTTACTGTAGAATCTTGTGATCCTCCATGGTAACTGCTGCATTTTCTGAAACCACTGCATGGTGAGATGGGAAGAGCAAAGCGTGATTGTCTCGTCATCTTCCAGTGGGAGCACGTGCCAGCCACATGATGGTTGTCTGAGTGCTCTTGGGGAGGCTCGTGCCGCAGAAGAGAAGCTATGACAATGAACCCCCCCAGTGCAGAACCTGCAGCAGGTGACCACCACTGCCAGGGCAATCGGCCTCAGGGAGGCTTTTAGGGAGCAAAATTCCTCACTTTTTTTTTTTTTTTTTTTTGCCTTAAATCACATAGGTTTGTTGGAAATACTAGAACTAGAGTAAAGCCAACTGTTCTGTGTGTCACTTGGAGTGTTCGTCTGTTCAGTTGGGTAGAGTTGAACCCGTGTATCTGGAAATTGTGTTCTGTACCTAGTCTTGTCATTTAGTAGTTTTCCGGCCTTTGAGACTAAAAAGATGGAGGTCAGAAAGGAGAGGACATAATATTTCTGCCCTGTTCTTTGCTTGGTAAATGGGATGTAGTCAGAAATACTGTTGCCCTTGCGTGCCCTTCCTGGCTGGGTGTTGCTAGGTGGTGAATGGAGTTTGGAGATGAACGGATGTGGATGTTCTTGCAGAAAAGGGTCAGAAATGGGTGCTTGGAAGGGGAAAACCACCTGAAAACTTTGCACATAATGCTTTTCACAAGCAAAAAGAAAAACCCTCTTAGCAATGGGAAAGATGCAAGGTCTTAACAGCTCCTGGGTGATCTGAGTAAAAACTAATCAAAAAATGCAGATGCAATCACTTTTGTCCAGGGGCAGAATAAGGGGCAAGCAAAGACCAACAGTTTACTCGCTTCTGAGGTGTTCTTCCACTTCTCATACCCACTAAAGAAGTCACGTCACTTCCTTTTTCCAGTTACTGTGGCTCTGCTTCAGGGAGTCCCTTTCAGCTCTTCACATTAAGACGAGAAACCTCATGTTGTTGAAACCTCTGGCTTTAAATGGTTCCATTTTCACCACTTTGCAGAAGTGTTTACGGAGTTGGTACCAAACAGGGTGTCTTTCCAGTGTTGTGCTTCATTCCATTCTCCCTCCTCGCGGGTTGGGCAAACGCTTTGCCCATGCCAGCCTCCTGCCTGCGAGGGAGGAGGAGGAGGGAAACAAAGCAGAAAACCTGACTTGGAAGCACCAGGAGGAGCAGCTTCCTGCCTGCTTCGCTGGTAGAAGGGAAGGAGCTGCTTGTACATCTCCCAAGGGGGAGAAGCTGGGAGCCCCTCTCACTGTTTCTTAGACCTGAAGAAAAAGATTCAGGATCCGGGCCTGTTGTTCTTTGTCGCTGTTACTTAGCAGAACCCCATTTGTTCATTCAAGTTGCTTTTCCTGGGTTTATTTAATTTTAAGTTAACAGACATCATCTCCTGACAGCCAGAGCAAAGGTAGCAAATTAGCTCCTCACTGAGAAAAG